ACTGAGATCATAATGTCCCTGGTAACTTATCTTAAATGACCTCAAAATTCTTTGAAACTGACCCCATAATATTTCATGCTCCTTGTAAATCGATCCCAATAAAAGTTATAATTTTTGGGACTAGCCTTAAAACTCAACCTCAAAGGAAAAATATGACAAGTACTTTATAATTCTTAGTAACTAATTTTTTCGTTAACTTTTGTTGGCTAAGATCATATTGAATATAGGTAGGTTAACTGAACTAAATTAACATCGAGATATATTTGACTTGGTCAATTGAACCCATTCAAGATTTTACACTCAGCTTCGCATCATAAATTATGTTTAGCACTACTTAACGTAAGTTGGATTCAGTGAACAATTAATTCAATTAACATGTCTTTTACTCCTAACAAACAAACACTTTATGAATGCTTGATCATTATAGATTGACATTGTGTATGTTGGTATAATCAAGATTCGTTACATACCTGTGCCATGGATTCTTTTACATCTATAACAATATTAATAACACTTATAACAAGATCTTATTCTTATACTGTTATAAAATAATAAAATAAGATTTATTATACACTAGTATGCTTAATAGACATTAATCTTCTTAATAAAAAGTGAGTTTATCCATTAAGTAAGGTATCAGAACTACCGTATACAAATCTTTCTCTCTCTTACTCTCGCATCCCTTTAGGTGAACTCACTTTAATTATACTGATTTTGATAAGTAGATTAAATATATTATTTACCTATTCCAACTGTATTTATATTTTTTTTATATAAAATTAATAATTATCTCCATCTTGCACACATGATAAACCAACATCATTGTCAATGTAGTGGATAATATTCATGTAAAATATCATTGTCATTACCCATCATACTTAAATTCAAAGCACAAAAAGTCTATTTTAAAAGAAAACAGAAAACAAGAAAGTCTGGTTTCAAACTATCTCGTGTGCAAGTAAATTATTTTGATTGTATATAACGCACGAGTGAATAAATCACTTTATTTCATTTTCTCTTTACGGAATTAAGTCCAATGAAAGAAAAATAAAAAAATAAAAAAATACATCAATGATAGAGGAATCTATAAAAAGTTATTTGATCTTATCCATCAATTACAATCCTTACGAGGATTAATATAATTTAAACTTATTATAGTTTCATATTTGTGACTAACATATATATATATATATATATTTGTTGTGAAACAACTTGGAAATTTTTAATAATCATTTACCCATAATTTAATTTTTTATGTAAATAAAATTTAAGTTCGAATCATAAATTTTACAATAAAAATTTTGTGTATAATAAGAATTAAATAATAAAATGTTTATAAATTTATTTTTGGCGATTAGGGTGGGAGAAATTTATAAAGTATTATCCAAAAAAAAGTCAACTAACAAGCAAAGATGCATTTCTAATCATTTGTTATAATCAAATCAAAATTATATAATTATAATTATAACCCAATAATAACGCCGTGTCTTGCGATTTAGATTGGAGATTAATAATTAATTAATAATGCTAAAAATGATTAGAATTGGGGATTTAGTAAGTAATTTGTGTTATAATATTTGAATCTATGGTGATTAAACAAATGTTTTTGGTAGACAAGATAATGTGATGACTTATGAAATTTCCCAAAAATTAAAGTTTGGATTAATATTTGATTAGACTAATCTAGGTCAAATTATAGTGTAATTAATATAATGTTATTGAATATTTTTAATAATAATAATAATAATAATTTATTTTTTCTAATATCATGTTATTCAATTTTAGGGTTTTTTTTTTTCTTCTTAATTTTGATATATTTAACTTTAATTTTTTATTTCTACATTTTTGTGAGTACACCGTATATAAATATAATTTAGAAATAAATTGTTATGTATTTTTAAAAAATTAATTAATTATCTAAAATTTGCCCCTAATATATATATATATATATATACATGTGTGTGTGTTGGCATAATTATGGAACAAATGCTTGATATGATAAGGCAAAAGGCTCATGGGCCTGCCCATTCCCACATGAATGGGCAAAATTAAATCCTTTAGGCCACACCATGCTTTTCTCATCAAAGACATCACACGTGGACCCTACCCACATGGGCTGCTCACACCCATCTGATCTTTCCTTTTTGAATCCGACGGTTCTGATTTGTTTAAGGCAGAGTAATCAATATGGACGGCTCAGGATTGTCCCAACCTTGTCCCTGATTGGAAAGACAACCGCCTTCAAGTATGCTGCTCATGTGACAAACACTTTCCTAATTCTTTCTTTTAAAACGCCCATTTCCCCTCCAATTCCACTCGCTTCTTAGGGCAATTGGACTTCACTCCCCACTTTTAAGAGCCACATTATTAATATATATATATATATATAATATACATAAGATATTTTTTTATTAAATTCATCACTTAAATTTATTATGATTAATTTATAATATTTAATTTAATTGAACTAAAAATTTATCTCATTAATATATTGATAAGATTGTAGTGATTAAATTGAATTAAATTTTAATAAATTTATTTTTTTTATAAACGAAATGAATTTTCTTACCAGTTAAATTTTTTTAATTAGAGTAATTATAATGAATTAAGAACCCGATTTAATTTTTTTGATCTAAAATGGTTAAATAAGGGATGAGCTACACTAGCCTAATAAGTACATTACACTATATCACTTGCACAGAAGTAAAGGTTGGTAGAAAATCAAAACAACTAATTGAGCACTAAATTTGATAAATTCGTTTATCAATCGTAAATTTATTTACAGTTCGCTTACCATTGTAGAATTTATGAAAACAACCTATAAAAATAATAATATCATACAGATCATAACTTTATGCACAATCAGTAACATATAATATATATCATAAATTTATATTCATTAACAATAACTAAATCATAACTGTTTCTCGTTTCACCAGTCTACTAGTATCCGTAGGGATTCATTGGGGTGTTCTCGCTACACGTGAACGCTTTTCCTTAATAAGATCAATTACATGGCCGTTCTCATACCCCGTCCAGTATGAGCGCCAAGATATTAAACATCGATAGCTCGTCCGATATGAGGGCTAAGTGGGTCGTTCTCACACCTTATCCGGTATGAGTGCCAAATTACCAAGTCTCCATACCCCGTATGGTATGAGACAACATTCACGGTAGGGTTCCTTATGAACCCGGTCCGTCCACCATCTCGTAGGATATCTAATGAGGCTGTCATCTTATCTGTTTATTTGATCACACATCTTTCCTGTTTTTTCTTAGTCTCCGTTACCAAATCAAACATAATCACATAAACAAATGAACATGCATTCGGTAATGCAATCATATCTTAAATCCCAAATCAAACAGTAGTCAAGTAAGACAGTAATACATGCATTTAAACCATAAAATATATAAATCAGATACCATCATACTTTTACACTATAAAATAAATCAACAGAGAACAATGTCTGATTCGGACTCCATTAGCAATCCGTAACTAATTATGCATATCTATTTAATTTGTACGAAATGCCATGTTATTATTTATTAAAACTTCAAATATATGATAGGAAATATGGCGAGGGGTCCTTACTTGATTTGATGTCGAAAAACTAAATGGTTTACTGCACCTACTAGTGATCTCTGAGTTCCCTGAATTTTTCTTCAGGAACTGAAACACGCTTACGGTACCTACAAATGTCCCAAATAAATCTAAAAATTAGTCCCAGGGCCTACTCGACCAATTTCAAAAGTCCGACACGGTGGCTCCACCGTGCTCCAGCGACAAGCGGCGGCGATTCGCCTCGGGTTGACTATTTTCGACTATTTTTGGCCGAATTCATAAGTTCTTGTGAGAAAATACACTTAGGGCTCTCGATTGGCCGAAAAAACGTAGAAAACCGAAACTCATTGGCGGCGTGGCTGTCCGGTGCGGTGGCTCCTCCGGCTCACGTTGCGGTTAGGTGTTTTACTCCGGTCAACCTGTAGAGAAGGAAATGATGATCACAATGGTGGAAAAATCATATCGAATGGGAATCGATAAGGGCCTCATCGGAAGCATTTTTCGAAATACCCGCGGTGGTACCGCCGAATTTTGCCAGCGTTTTTCGGTCAATTGGTCGGTCCTTTTTATCCAATTTGGTCATAAGCGTGTTTAAAATTAAATTTTGAGCAAAGTGTAAAATTTTTACCTCGTTTGGCGGTCGAAAATTACTCTGGTGCAGCGGCAGGTGGCAGTAATCGGCTCCCTGGCGGCTGGGTTGTCTTCTCCAACGAGGAGTTTTAGCGGCTAAGGTTAGGTTTTGAGTGCAGATGAGGTTATTTATATCCATTCGCTTTTGATCTGGGTCATCTGATCGTGATTAAATAGGGAGCGAATCTGTGCCGTTAATCGCGATTCAATATTGGCTGTCCGTGCACGATTCAATCTGGACCGTTCGTGTGCGATTCAATATGGACCGTTCGTGTGCGATTTCAATATGGACCGTCCGTGTGCGATTTCAATATGGACCATCCGTATGCCATTTCAATCTGGGTCGTCTGTGCTCGCAGGAACGGACCTCAGTCGTTCGATCGCGCGTACGCGAATCTCCCACGTGGCCTCCCGCGTTAGTGCCTTTGCCACCTGGCGCGTCCTGATTGGTCAGGGCTGCTGATCGGGCATCTGACGTGGCACAATTTTTTTAAATTACGTTTTGACCTTTCAGTTTCTGATTTTTATTTCAAAAATAATCTTAAAACTCAAATTTTCACTTTTTTTTTTTCAAAATTGGTTTCAATTTAATACTTAATAAATTTTTAACCCTTTTTTATTAAATTAAAATAAAATAAATAAATAATTATATTTAAAAAATAAAAATAAAAATAAAAGCAAATGTTGATTGTTACAATAGGTTCGTGCATTGCACGCCCTGAAAAGTCGTGGTTATTTTCCAGCTATTTAGTTTGGCTCACAAGACTTTTTTCAATTTCTACACGCCCAACCATTTCATCTATAAAAACACAACTTTGTGGACTTCCTTTTGGCCAACCACACAAGCTTTTTCTGCTCCAAACATTCACTCTTCGCCTTCAATTTTCCAAGAGCAAATCCATAAACCCAAAAAATTCCTGTAAATATCATCAACCCCAGAAATCTACAGGGTCTGTTTTGGTTGTTTCTATTGAGTTTCAGAAGAGAAAATCGATAATCATGGCGTTTTCTGATGATCATCGTGATCTAAACCTTGAAGCCACAGAGCTCAGATTAGGTCTCCCGGGCACCAATGAAGATAATCAGAAGTCCATGATCATGGACAAGAATAAGCAGTTTATGAAGATCAACAACAAAAGATCAGCTCTGGTTCTTGATATCAATGGTGAGGAAGATGAAGATCAGCCTGATCAGTCCAATCATGGAGATCAGAATAATCCCAGTACTTTATCTTCACTCACCCAGAACTGTCACCAAGAATCACCCCCACCCACCAAGTAAGTATTAAACTTTTCTTCTCATATATATACATATATACACCCATATGCATATTTATACGGGCTAATATATAGGGTTAATCTTATGTATAGGGCACAAGTTGTGGGGTGGCCGCCGATCAGATCCTACAGGAAAAATTGTTTTCAGGGAAAGAAAAAAGATCAGCTGGAGACGACGGCCGGAATCTATGTGAAAGTGAGCATGGATGGTGCTCCTTACTTGAGAAAGATTGATTTGAAGGTGTATAACAATTACTCTGATCTGCTTAAAGCTTTGGAGGACATGTTCAAGTTTCGAGTTGGTAAGAATTTTATAATTGCATACATATATATATATGTATTACATACATATTTTAAGCATGGATTTTAATTTATATAACTATAACAGGATCTGAATTTGCACCAACTTATGAAGACAAAGATGGTGACTGGATGCTTCTTGGAGATGTTCCATGGACGTAAGTCCTTCTACACACACACACACACACATGTATTTATAGATTGCTTTTTAAGTTTTAATTTCCTTAAAACTAAATTTTCTTTACTGAATTCATGCAGCATGTTCATAAATTCTTGCAAGAGGCTGAGGATCATGAAAGGCTCAGAGGCTAGAGGCTTGCAGGGTTGTGCTGTGTAAATAAATGAATGATTAATTAATGTTAATTAATTACTTAAAATTAATTTCTCTGAAGGAGGAGATCTAATGAAGATCAGATCAAGATTAAGCTCTTTGTGAAGAAATTAATTTTGGAAGCTGAAATTATAATTAACAAAGTTAATTAGTTGGATTAGATTTTGTTAGGCACAAGATTTGCCAAACTTCTTGTATAGATCTTTTTTTTTTTTTTTTCCATTATTTGTCTTAATTTGCTTTTAATGGAACTGTACAAATTAGGGTTCTTGGGGGGGGGGGGGGGGGGGGGAGAAAGAATTTTTATTTTGTATAATGCTTAACATCTTGTAATATAGATTCTATGGAGGCTTTTTTGTTAATAATTAATTTGTAATTATGAATTATCGGATTTTTATAATTGTTATCAAACAATATACATTTAATTATTAATATCTACGTAAAATAATCAACTGTCCCGTTAAACCTAATCTTCCATAAGAGAAAATTCATTAAATGAGAGTTTGAACTACTGAATTTTGACTAACAGGACTATACACCAAATTTAATTGTACAAACTTAACCCGAAAAGAACAAATAAAAAGTGGTAAAAAAAAAACCCATCTAAAGCTAGAATCAAATCAGAAGGCCAAAAAATTCTTTAAGCTACTTATTCTCGTACGAATAGGCTTGAACAAACCCTAATAATCTCATACACTCTTTAAAAAACACGAATATGATAGAAAACTATATTGAACATCTCGTTGGACGTCTTATTAATCATTTATTGAAAAGTTGATCCAAATTTCCTAACAACTAGATATATCAAACTATGATAATTGATTCTTGGCGTGTTGCAGTTAAGAGAGGTGGAAGAGAGAAAGAGAGAGTGGGAAAGACTATTTATGCTTGTAACAGTGAGTAATAATTCAGAATCGGACAAGATTCGATCGAAGACTAATAATAGTTTATTTTATTTTGGATTTAAATGAACAAATTTATTTAATTCCTTAATTTATGAATTAAAAAAAAATTAAACATTATATTAATCTGATCTGATTTTTCGATCCGATAAAGATATGTACGCTCTTGTATGTAAGATATGTTCGATTAAATTTAAATTGTATATATCAGTTTAGCCTTATTTTATAATAGAGATCACGAATGTCATACCTCTACATACATGCATGACCATGAAATATAAATCTTTAAATTGAAGTTGTTTCTCCCTTATGGGAGAAAAATTTATTATTTTAATATTAAATTATTTATCATATTATAATTAAATTAAAATTTTATTTTTACAATTTAGTATTTAAATTTATATTTTTTTGACTTATTTATATTTTTATGTAACTTATAAAAATTAAAAAAAAAATCCTTCCTAGAGAAATCTATATACATATATATATATATATATTTGTGTTTCATGGAATTTTGAATTTTGGACTTTCTCTGAGATGGACTTAAAAGCCCACCGACTCTGTACCGTAGCCCAGCCCATCTCTTTGAGAAAAGGGTATAATAGGAAATGCGAATTAGATTTCCTCGAAATCTTCATGATTAGGGTTTCTTTTCTCTTGCTGGGAGCAACTCGCCACCGCCGGCCTCCTTCTGGTTTTCGCTTTCCGTCAGTAACAATCTATATTTCAACCAACTCCTGTCATCGTCCCTGGCCCAGCGGTGACTTCTACTGAGGCTACTTTCGCGTCCTCTGCTTTCGTTTCCTATCTAGAACGCTTTTCCTCTTCCATTTCTCGTCGAAATCCCTTCTAAACAGTTCGTCAGTTATCCCGGTTCTGTTGCCCAAGTATTCGCCGCTGGTTGGTCTGGTTATCCTCGACCTGAAATTCCAAATTTGCATCATTGAGCTGCATCGCCATCGCGGGCATCACACCGGCTACCTCGGTCGCACGGTGAGAATCCTCCTCTGTTGTTTCGTAATTTTTTGGTGATTTACGGTTAATTACTTGGATCTCTATTGTTATATTGCGTTACATAGTTGATGTATTTGGTAAGGTTTTCTTCAGTAGTCCATTTCTGATTTTGTATCTGTTTCTGCTGTCTTCCATTCTGTTGTATTTTGTTGCTGTGCTCATTGGAGTCCATCGGATTAATTAGCTTTAACTTCTGTTAATTGCTTCGTCTATCGTTGTTGCTTTCTAGGTGCGGAGGCGAAGAACTTAGTATCGTGTTTTTCTAACATAAGGATGTTTTGATTCGGAACCAGTCACACAAGTAGTTTACATATAAGTTTTTCTTCCTTATAGAAATGCTTGGAGCATTACCAATTTTGCCTCTTGAGGCCCCTCCTGCTGATGGAAATATCGGTCCTCTTCCTCCTTCCCAAGTAACGGAGCCAGTCAAGGATGAGACCAATGAGGACCAAAACAAAACTAATTCAGCTCCTGCCTCCGTTGCAACCCACACAAGAACCATTGGAATCATACATCCTCCCCCAGACATCAGAAATATTGTTGATAAAACTGCTCAATTCGTTGCAAAAAATGGGCTGGAATTTGAAAAGAGGATCATTGCCAACAATGCTAACAATGCAAAGTTCAACTTTCTTAGTAGCTCGGATCCATACCACGCATATTACCAGCATAGGCTGACTGAATTTCGTGCTCAGAATCAAGCTTCTGCCCAGCAGCCTCCATCAGAGTCTGCAGATTCTGTTCCAAAGGAACTGGCACCAGCTGCCCCAGCTGCTGCTGATGCGAATGAAGCTGTAGCAAAACCTGATATTACAGCTCAGTTCAGACCTCCGGTACGCAAGCCTCTTGAGCCACCCGAGGCTGAGCAGTATACTGTTCGACTTCCTGAAGGAATTACTGGGGAAGAACTGGATATTATTAAGCTTACAGCTCAGTTTGTTGCAAGAAATGGGAAATCATTCTTGACAGGATTGACAAGTAGAGAGATAAATAATCCACAGTTCCATTTTTTGAAGCCAACACATAGTATGTTCACCTTCTTTACTGCACTTGCTGATGCATATTCAAAGGTGTTGATGCCCCCTAAGGGTTTAACAGAGAAACTGAAGAAGAATATTACTGATATGACAACTGTACTTGAAAGGTGCTTGCATCGCCTGGAGTGGGAACGTTCACAGGAGCAGGCAAGGCAGAAAGCTGAGATGAGATAGAGCAGAGAGGATGCAAATGGCTATGATTGATTGGCATGATTTTGTTGTGGTTGAGACCATAGATTTTGCTGATGATGAAGATGAAGATTTACCCCCACCTATGACACTTGA